AAAAGAAAGAAAGAAAGAAAGAAACTGAGTTCCTAGTCAAAGGAATGTCTCTGAAGTGGGAAGGAACCTGGTGCTTACAAAGGACCTAAAGAGAGCCAGAGGGACTGCAGTAGACAGACTAGACAGACAGACGGGAAGAGAGCTCCCGTAGCCAAGCAGTGAGTGCCAGAGGACTCTAAAAAAACGTAAAGTGAAAGTCTGACTGTCATAAAGGGATGAACGAAATTATAGAGTTTATTTAACTCATTTAGTGAAGTTACCAGGCAGATATTTAAGTTGGTGCAAAGAATAGGCACATTTATAAGTCAGAAATGTTGAAATGAATATGCAAATGAACTGGCTTCTACAGTGGAGAGGGGTTCATTGAATGAACCCTGACCCTCAGAACTCATTTGCATGTCTACAGTGCCTATGGATTTTGCATTTCTACCAGTTTTCTGTAAAAGAACTCACAAGCAAAGAAACGAAGTGAGACACAGTGAAAAGGCCCGAGGAATGAGAATCAGATAACCTTCAAGGTCTGCTCTAAACAATGCATGGTTTCCAACTGAAGTATAATTTTCCCTGCAGTGGGAAAATATGATTTCTTCATTCAAGTACTATTCAGCCAGCCATATTAGTCACTCTACTTACTTGTCACATGAAGAAGCTCTGTCTTTAGCAGTTTTTAATTTAGTTCAACCTAGGGGCAAGAAAAATCATGGAAAGGTTAAAGATGAGGTGTGACAGGATTGAAGGGCATTGGCTACAGTTTGGAGACTGGAGAAGGAGCTGGCTAGAGAGGAATGGTTTTTTTTTGTTTTCTGTTTTTAGATGGGGTCTCTGTGTGCATCCCTGGCTAGAGTGCAGTGGCCATTCATAGCTCGCTGCAGCCTCAAACTCCTGGGCTCAAGCAACCCTCCTGCCTCTGCCTCCAGAATATCTGGGAGTATAGAATGGAGTTTTCTAGAAACAAATACTGACACACATATGAAATGATCCTATTAAATTGAATTTGGCTGGTGGTGGGTGAAAGAGATGGAGTTAAAAAGCCAGAGGTCAGCAGTCTAGAGAGGATTGAGATGAGGAAGAACAAGATGAGAAGAGTACCAGGAGGGGCTCCTGGGGTTCTGACTTGCTTATCTAGCTGGAGATATTCACTATGCGAACTAAAATAAAATCCTACCTAAGTCTCCCCATCCCAGCCCCCAAGGACTGCAGAGAACCCCTCTTCGCCTAAGGGACCACAGAGAAACCCTAAAACTGAGTTCCCAGCTATGATGGTATGGGAGGTCAGGCACCCCTCATTATACCCCCTCCTTAGGCTTTTTCTCCTTGAAAGCTAAACAGAAACCAATCTGGTAATCTACTCCTCCCTGCTGTAGTACAGTTTCAGCACTACAACTAACCAGCATTCTTCCTAACAGGAGACCATCAACCATGAAGTGGTTTCAGCCAGTTTACGGGACATGTGCATGGAGAGTTTTCTGTCTTTGCTTCACCTTCCTGGCATTAGAGGCCCACAATTTTTGGAACATGAACCCCATAAAGGGGCATAAAGCTCCATGGAGCATGCACATGTTTCTCCTTTCATAAATTTTCATGACCCCTCCTACAGCTTGTTAAATTTGTATATTTGGCCACCCCACTAAGCATAAATTCCTATTCTCATTGTCCTCTCTCACTAGAAGCACATATGGCTTCTGGTCAGGGCTCTCTGCTTTCCAGCCTCCCCAAATAGCCACCTCCAGGCTGCAGCCCTTCATGAGAAAATAAAGTTTTCCTTTCCAAATTTAATTACCTTGTCCCGTTCTTCAGTTAACAACTAAGAGAAATGTTATACTGAAAGATGGTGTGGTGTGAGGGGACAAGCAGAAGTCTAGTTGACAG